GGGGCCATTTTCGTCGACAATTTCTCAAAATTTTTATTTTCGAGACAAAACAACCCGAATCACTAAAATTCAATTGTCATCCTACTGTCAAAAATATGCCGAGTAACGTCAGTCAAGTTTGTCTGTGGATAATTATTTTGTCTATGGTTTTTCTTTATGGTGGAGTAGTGATGTTGTAAACAAATAATGTTGAGCTCGAAAATGTCGAAAAATTTTATGGCCTCATGGATAGCTTGTTCAAACATTGGAATCCAATCCAATAGCAATGGTCATTGATCGAAACAAACGTTAAACGGCATAATGTTCTACTTTGAAATAATCTATTATCTTTATGATTATTTTTCCTCCTAGGGAATTCCCTGATTATAATGTTCTCACAACTTAAGATAATAAAGGTTCATACACATTTACACATAGGGTTGTCCTACCTCCATAGACAAGAGGCAAAACGTGACTTTACGTGACAGTTGTAATTTCGAAATCCAGCGAAGACGACACGAAGCGATGGGATTTTGAAATTACTACTGTCACGTTTTGCCACTTTTCAAGGGAAGCTGGAATAATCTATACCGTGTGTATGCTGCGTGCAAAGAATAAATGGGGGTATATAAAACAAATATGTTTCAGCGGGACTACTCGCCCGAAGTAGGTAGATAGTGTGGAGTCGCACTTCACTTCACTTCGTGCAACCTCGCTTCGCCTTGCCTGACATCTCAGAATACAGAATTGTTCCGTATTCTGAGCCTGACATTCGAATTTTTTTGCGCCTATGTCAAAGGGCTTGAACGAAGTATGAAGGGGAAGGAGAAAGTAACCGAGACGGTGTTCACACTACTATGTCTTGGCCAATTTCCCGCATAGTGTACTTGTGCCATAACATAAGTGCTCCGAAGTTAACTTGAGTTCACGTCGAGATATTCATCTATTGTATAGGAATTCAAACTTCGTTATAATGAATGAGAGAGCACAGCACATTTGCAGTGCAATGACAACCGCGTCGCCACTTGCACATCCTTGATTCCCACATCATTATTGCCTATCTATCATACTCTCTCTCATCCTCTCATCTGTGCTATCCATTGCGCGGTATAATATGGAAGAATGGGATAATGACGTGTTCCTCGCGAGGTTGCACGAATGTGTGGATACGCGCTTCGAACTTCGGACATCCCCAAAGTTTTTCTTGAAACGCCGAAGCAGTGAGGTGTTAAAATCGGTGGGTCTAGTAGAGCTAAACAAAGTGCACATTACAATCTCAAACCAGTCGATAAGTGGTCGAAAGGCCTTTTTTAGTATGGAGTTATGACGGATTGATTCGATTTTCGATTCAATCAATTAGTGCAACTTGTAAGGGGGGCGGTACAGTAGGTCTAAACAAGTGGCACTTTGATCGAATCAAAACCAAAAAAAGGGCCTTTCGACCATCTTTCGACATTACAACTGTCATATTTAACATTTAACCGCCTCTTTGGTCTAGTGGTAAGACCACCTGCTTCAGACGCAGAGGTCCCGGGTTCGATTCCCAGTGGGGGCAGATTTTTCTGTTCGGTTTGGTTGGTGGTAGGGCTTGTTCTAAGTCCGCCTGGCTAGCTACCACCATCTTACTTAAGTCTGTCGCCATAACAACAATGTTAACAGCATTGTTGTGTTCCGGCAGTTAGAGGTAAGATAGCCAGTTCCTCCGTGGTTGAGGATTCCAGGTGAAGTTCGCTTCCACCTTCGGCCTGATCATTACTTACCATCAGGTGAGATACAGGCCAAGAGCTTCCTCGCTGTGGATAAAAAAAAATGCCACTAGTCTAGGGGAGCAGAAGAAACAAGGGACAAAGTATGAAAATAATAAATATTTAGATTAAAAATGAGATCGAGTGGAGATATCGTTTTAGATTGTTTAGTTTAAAATTGTGAGCTCAAATTTGAAGCTCAGTGTATGAAACACATGTTTAGCAACGCGATCGTCACTGTCGTCTATGAAAACCATAGTAAAATACTATTGTCAAAATTTGTGCCAATGTGCAGCAACAGAACAAGGAATATTAAGTTCCATTCCGTTGTAATACGTCGTAGTTTTGAATAAAAGGTGTTTTATGTATGTAAGACCTTTTAGTNTTTTTCTTTATGGTGGAGTAGTGATGTTGTAAACAAATAACATTGAGCTCAAAAATGTCGATAAATTTTATGCCCTCATGGATAGCTTGTCCAAACATTGGAATCCAATCCAATAACATTGATCGAAACAAACGTTAAACGACATAATGTTCTACTTTGAAATAATTACATTGATTTATAATATTCCTTCGGAAAGGTATATTATCTTTATGATTATTTTTCCTCCTAGGGAATTCCCTGACTATAATGTTCTCACAACTTAAGATAGTAAAGGTTCATACACATCTACACATAGGGTTGTCCTACCTCCATAGATAAGAGGCAAAACGTGACTTTACGTGACAGTTGTAATTTCGAAATCCAGCCAAGAGCCAAGACGACGGATTGATGGGATTTTGAAATTAGTTCCAAAATACTGGACTGTCCTGTCGATGACATTGACAGTGGGGCGCCACCGTCTATACCGGATCGCTGGTTCCGATTTTTGCCATGTTGGAAACCATACAGTTGAACGATGGTAGCGCCCCCCTGTCATTGAGTTTGGTGGGACAGTTCAGCGTGGGTCATCTATGTATATGAAGGGGAAGGAGAAAGTAACCGAGACGGTGTTCAAACTACTATATCTTGGCCAATTTCCCGCATAGTGTACTTGCGCCATAACATAAGTTCTCCGAAGTTAACTCAGTTCATTTCGAAATATTCATCTATAGGAATTCAAACTTCGTTATAATGAATGAGAGTGCACAGCACATTTGCACTGCAATGACAACCGCGTCGCCACTTGCACATGCTTGATTCCTACATCATTATTGCCCATCTGTCATACTCTCTCTCATCCTCTCATCTGTGCGATCCATTGCGCGGCATATGGGATAATGTGTTCCTCGCAAGGTTGCACGAATGTGTGGGTGGATACGCGCTTCGAATTTCGGACATCCCCAAAGTTTTTCTTGAAGCGTCGAAGCTATGAGGTGTTAAAATCTGTGGGTCTAGTAGAGCTAAACAAAGTGCACATCGCAAACCAGTCGATAAGTGGTCGAAAGGCCTTTTTTTAGTATGGAGTTATGACGGATTGATTCGATTTTCGATTCAATCAAATAGTGCAGCTTGTCTAGGGGGCGGTACAGTCTGTAGGTCTAAACAAGTGGCACTTTTTGATCGAATCAAAACCAAAAAAGGGCCTTTCGACCATCTTTCGACATTACAACTGTCACATCTAACATTTAACCGCCTGTGGTCTAGTGGTAAGTAGAGATGGGTAGTGGGTAAAAACCCATTTCACCCGATTGGGTTAAAACTGGGTGAATTGGGTAAAAACCCGGTTTTTACCCATTATCACCTATTCTGGTGGGTGAAAACAAAAATAGCGTTTTTTTAAAGTGAGAAGTGGTATTTGTTGCTAAGGGGGTGTTCTAGTGTTACGTAATGCAATCTGGGGGGAGAGGTCTTGAAAAACGTTACAATGCGTTACAGTGGCGGAAGGGCGGTTCGATTTCAAGTTTTTAAGCAGAAGTACTTTGTAGTTGGTGTTGTTATTTGTAACTTTATACCGTAATGTCATCAAAGAGAGAGTTGACTTATTACTTATTAATCAATAAACTTAAATGATAAAAATTCAATAAAAATAAAGAAAAGATACCAATTGAAATAATTATAAAATTATTTGTTTTCACCCGGTGTAAACACCCACGGGTGGAATGAAACGGGTTTTTATTGGGTTTTTACCCTCATGTGGGTTTTTACCCGGGTGGAAACCCATCTCTAGTGGTAAGACCACCTGCTTCAGACGCAGAGGTCCCGGGTTCGATTCCCAGTGGGGGCAGATGTTTCCGTTCGGTTTGGTTGGTGGCAGGGCTTGTTCTAAGTCCGCCTGGCTAGCTACCACCATCTTACCTAAGTCTGTCGCCATAACAACAATGTTAACAGCATTGTTATGTTCCGGCAGTTAGAGTTAAGATAGCCAGTTCCTCTGTGGTTAAGGATTCCGGGTGAAGCTCGCTTGCACGTTCGGCGTGATCGTCACTTGGTCAGAGCCCCGATTACGGTAACTTTTAACGTCAACAATCCAGACACGCTTCTCGATTCTGCGATACGATTGGTCGTTCAACAGCGTACGTCAGCTGTTTTGACCAATCGTATCGCAGAATCGAGAAGCGTGTCTGGATTGTTGACGTTAAAAGTTACCGTAATTGGGGCTCTGGTGAGATACAGGTCAAGAGCTTCCTCGTTGTGGATAAAAAAAAAATTTAGGGCTCTTGGAGTATGAGTATTCTTTGGTCTAGGGGGGCAGAAGGAACAAGGGACGAAGTATAAAATAAATAAATAAATATCTTTCGACAATTTCACACAGCGCTATCTAGCCCCAAAGTAAGCAATTAATATGCTTGTGTTATGGGTGCTAGCTTAACGGATATACTACATAAATACTTTTTAAATACATACATATTATACATAGTAACACCCAGACCCGTCACAGAAATTAAAATTCATCATTTCAATTTCTGCCCGGCCGGGAATCGAACCCGGGACCTCTCGGCATAGTAGTCCGTTTTAGAACCACCACACCAAACGGCCGACAGTACACCAAACGGGACGAAGTATGAAAATAATAAATATTTAGATTAAAAATGAGATCGAGTGGAGATATCGTTTTAGATTGTTTAGTTTAAAATTGTGAGCTCAAATTTGAAGCTCAGTGTATGAAACACATGTTTAGCAACGCGATCGTCACTGTCGTCTATGAAAACCATAGTAAAATACTATTGTCAAAATTTGTGCCAATGTGCAGCAACAGAACAAGGAATATTATGTTCGATTCCGTTGTAATACGTCGTAGTTTTGAATAAAAAGTGTTTTATGTATGTAAGACCTTTTAGAGTGAAATCGTATTTTGGTTCACTGCTCCATAGATAAGAGAAGAGACAAAACTACTAGCATTGCCTGTAGTTGCTTAACCAATACTGTACTTGGGAAATACTGATAAAAAGCTTCTAATCACTAATGTTACAGTCGAAAATTATTGGATTACAACCATCGTATTTTCACAGAAATTGTGTGTGCCAAAAATTATAAGAAACGGACAAGCTTCGGCTGAAGGGGACCGGTTGATTCTTTACATAAAATTTCAATGTGTTCTGGAAATGGTTTGCAAAGAGGACGTGGTATCATGGTTTAAAGAATTGGAAAGCTATAAACGCATAGATGCAATGTGTACGTTACTAAACATGTGCTTGCCATTCGAATTGCGCTTTATTGGCACCTACCTGGAGGAGCTCGGTAAGCGGGACTTCCAGGAGTTGCGTGGTGCCGAACTGAGAGCCAACAACCCAACAGACCTTGCCGCCGACATCGGGGGCGCCAACACAGACTCCAGAACCCGACGGAAAATGGCCTTGTATGTGTCTTTGTTGCGCTCATGTAATTTTGCCTGTGCTACCACATTGTACAATGCCATGGTTAGCTTGGAGCAAAGTGGTCTATTGAAAGATCTCTATGGAGAGCTATTGGAGGAGATTTTACTTCTGTATACTATGGCATTACATCATCCAGCATTCACATTTGACCAGAAATCACATTTTGGTGAGATATTAGATAAATTGAAACTAGAAGACCAGAGGATAAATTTTCCAGAGCAGCAAGAGCATATAAATTTAGTGCCTGTGAGTGTATGCCATACACAGCCTAGTGTCACAGCCAACATGTCTGTCCCACCGCCTAACTTGTCTAGCTTGGGCCCGCCTCCTGGCTTAGTGTTTGTAAAAACACCTGGGGTGCAGGTCAGTGTCAATATTGTAAGTAGCTTTTCATCCCATTATTATGTCATTGATGTTTTTGAAGCTATGTCTATGTGATATCTAATTTAGTGGTCACATTCAGTAAATAAATGTTTTCCAAGGCTATTCATTTATCATTTCAATGTATCAAACTTCAGTTAGTTATTATGAAATCATAGTTATTTATTATTTAGTTACGGGACAAATAAAGACTATTTACTATAGAACATAATAAATAACCTCAAAATTGAAAATTGTCTACAACCAATTTTGTTAAAATAGGATAGAGAAAACGCAATCCAATAATTTTTAGCTTCATTATTAGTTGTTTTAGTTCAATTTTGTTGGTTATGCTATAGTGCTGTATAAAGTCAATATTATTTATTAGCAAAATACACTTTCATATTATGTAAAATGTTTGCATGCTTTTATATAAGTAGATTTTGACGAACAAACCATTTTGGTGCCCGAAGCTCTTCAACAAATCCTTGTTAATTGATAAACTCGCTATTTTCGTAGTAAACTAACAAATAGCATTTTCAACTCATCAATATTGAATAAAATCACAATACTTACATTTTTGTAATAGAAGGAAAGATGACAGATTAGGACAATATTTGAATTAGTGATGTGGCCCTTTTATCAGGGTTTCATCTAACAGAAAAGTGTTGTAATATTGTTATTACGAAATACCCTTATTATCTTATTCCCCTCACTAAATTGTTTATCTACATTATTTCAGCCGCCCAGTTCAGACGCAGTGCCTCAAGAGCTCAGTTCTCCACCAGTATTGACCGGGGCTGGGGGTGTAGTGCCTATGCTCGGGGAAGTCCCTCATGCACCCCCCGGCTTACCGATGCCACAGTACAACATGGGAGAATACATAGGACAACACGGGTGGCCTGCAAATATTATAGTCTCACCAATCAATCAGCCTTTAGAGGTAAATAAAAATATATGAAGCAATTGGTCAACGTTGAAAAATGTCTATGAAAAAATATCCAATTGGAATCTTGTTGGGGAAATAGCAGTTACTTGGGACAGTCATGATATAATATTGTTATTAAATAGTCTTATGTTAAAGTGAGATGTTGTATTGCTTTAAAATGCTTATTGATTACTTAAATATTTTGCCCAACAATGTTGTAAACTTGTAAATAAATAATCTAGTAATTGACACCATAGCATTGTGTTCATAAACATTTCACATATTGCTGTGAATAAGACCATGTAAACTGAGTGAATACTGCTGTTTGGATGGTCAAATAGAGGTCTAAGTTAAAAACATCATCTGTTAGTTTAGAGCTCTAATATTGGCTTGATAATGTCAAGCAGCCTGAACACCGTCGCTGCCAGAAACAGTTATTTTTAAATACCTACATCGGTGACTAAAATAATATTAGAACATGCCTGCAACAAAGTTTATTTTGTTGAATATAATTATCATGGATTTCATAAGAGGTGAATAAGGGAGAAATGTGAACATCAGGTTACCCTAACTATCACCATCTCAGGAATATTTTATTTATGTAGAAAAAGGCAGGTATAACACTACAATCGCACCTGATGTTAATTGAATACAGCCCAAATCCTCCATTTGCCTTTAGTAAATTACAGAAAGGTTGTTCTCTTGCAGTGAAGACAACCCGCTAGTTTAGGATGCGTGACACGATATAATCTTATCGTCGAATAAAGACTTAAACGAACCTGAACGACAAATAAGACGATAATGGCCCGCATCCTGGGCTAGGCGATTATTATTTAATCAACTAGTAATGAAATTATTCAACCAATTTCAGGTAATAAACTACCCTCCGCCGCCGGGTCCGGGCGGGCCGACGTCGCCTCTGGTCTCATCTCCGGGTGACAGCCGCGCCGCCTCTCCGCGCTCCCGGCGCCGTCTGTCGCGGGATCGCTCGCCGCCGCTGCCGCCCGGGCCGCCGGAGCCGCTGCCGCATCTTGCCGCCAACTTTGAGAACATGACTGTAGCCGAGGTAACTATAAACGACCTATCGCCGCCGGGTCCTGGTGGCCCGACGTAGCTTCAGAGGGGTTACTCCGAAAAGCGTTTTCCGAAGCTTCGATGCTTCGATGTTGCTATCCCCCTCACGCAACCCGAGATGCCAGCATGAACGACAGTGACAGATAGACTCGACACTACGTAAACAGCGTTTCGGAGTAGCCCTCCTGGTCTCATCTCCGGGAGACAGCAGCGCCGCCTGTCGCGGGACCACTCGCCGCCACTGCCGCCCGGGCCGCCGGAGCCTCTGCCTCACCTTGCCGCCAACTTTAGAACATGACTGTGGCTGAGGTAATTATAAACTACCCGCCGCTCCCGGGTCCTGGTGGCCCGACGTCGCCTCTGGTGTCCTCGCCTGGCGACAGTCGCGCCGCCTCGCCGCGCTNGCCGCACCTTGCCGCCAACTTTGAGAACATGACTGTAGCTGAGGTAACTATAAACTACCCATCGCCTCCGGGTCCTGGTGGCCAGACGTAGCTTCAGAAAGGTTACTCCGAAAAACGTTTTCCGAAGCTTCGAATGTTGCCATTCCTCTCACGCAAACAGAGATGCCAGCATGAACGACGGCGACAGATAGATCCGAAACTACGTAGACAGCGTTTCGGAGTAGCCCTCCTGGTCTCATCTCCGGGAGACAGCAGCGCCGCCTGTCGCGGGACCACTCGCCGCCACTGCCGCCCGGGCCGCCGGGCTTGCAGCTGTGGCGCGCGCCGCGTTGCAGATTTCATAGAGATTTGCTGTCTGCGGTCTGCAGTCCATCTAGTAGACTTGTACCTTTACGCGAGTTGATGCGCGGGTAGGTGCAAGGAAGAGTCGCATTCCAGCAAGGTGCGCAGTTAACTCGTTCGAGTAATACCCCCCGCCCCCGAATCCGGGCGGGCCGATGTCGCCTCTGCGGGGTTACTCCGAAAAACGTTTTCCGAAGCTTCGAATATTGCCATCCCTTTCACGCAAAGCGAGATGCCAGCATGAACGACGGTGACAGATAGACGCGAAACTACGTAAACGGCGTTTCGGAGTAGTCTTCCTGGTGTCCTCAACTGGTGACAGCCGCGCCGCCTCGCCGCGCTCCCGGCGCCGCCTGTCGAGGGATCGGTCGCCGCCGCTGCCGCCCGGGCCGCCCGAGCCGCTGCCGCACCTTGCCGCCAACTTTGAGAACATGACTGTAGCTGAGGTAACTATAAACTACCCATCGCCTCCGGGTCCTGGTGGCCCGACGTAGCTTCAGAGGGGTTACTCCGAAAAACGTTTTCCGAAGCTTCGAATGTTGCCATCCCCCTCACGCAAAGGGAGATGCCAGCATGAACGATGGTGACAGATAGACGCGAAACTACGTAGACAGCGATTCGGAGTAGCCCTCCTGGTATGTTCGCCTGGCGACAGCCGCGCCGCCTCGCCGCGCTCCCGGCGCCGCCTGTCGAGGGATCGGTCGCCGCCGCTGCCGCCCGGGCCGCCGGAGCCTCTGCCTCACCTTGCCGCCAACTTCGAAAACATGACTGTTGCCGAGGTAATTATTAAAGAACAACGCGGTCGACTTCACTGCGCACCTGGCGATCGTGACGTCACATCGAGGCTCTGGTACGAACGGGGCTAAAGGTACAAGTCCAAGATGAACTGCAGACCGCAGACTGCAACCGCCAACTGCTATGAAATCGCATGGCGGCGCGCGCCGCAGCTGCAAGCCGCTGTGGGGATTTCATAGAGATTTGCTGTCTGCGGTCTGCAGTCCATCTTAGACTTGTACCTTTACGCGAGTTGATGCGCGGGTAGATGCGAGAAAGAGTCGCATTCCAGCAAGGTGCGCAGTTATCTCGTTCGAGTAATACCCCCCGCCCCCGAATCCGGACGGGCCAATGTCGCCTCTGCGGGGTTACTCAGAAAAACGTTTTCCGAAGCTTCGAATGTTGCCATTCCTTTCACGCAAAGCGAGATGCCAGCATGACAGATAGACGCGAAACTACGTAAACGGCGTTTCGGAGTAGTCTTCCTGGTGTCCTCAACTGGTGACAGCCGCGCCGCCTCGCCGCGCTCCCGGCGCCGCCTGTCGCGGGATCGCTCGCCGCCGCTGCCGCCCGGGCCGCCCGAGCCGCTGCCGCATCTTGCCGCCAACTTTGAGAACATGACTGTAGCTGAGGTAACTATAAACTACTCGCCGTCCCTGGTCCGGGAAGGTTACTCCGAAAAACGTTTTCCGAAGCGTCAAATGTTGTCATCCCTTTCACGCAAAGCAAGATGCTAACTGACTGACCCGACACTATACCGAAGATATCCCGGACGTCAGTCTGTACGAGATTAGAATGGCTCTCAAACAGCTAAAGAACAACAAGGCACCGGGTGATGATGGAATCACGGCTGAGCTTTTGAAGGCAGGCGGAACGCCGGTACTAAGGGCTCTTCAGAAGCTGTTCAATTCCGTCATCCTCGAAGGAAAAACGCCTACGACATGGCACAGAAGTGTGGTGGTACTCTTCTTCAAAAAAGGTGACAAAACCTTGTTGAAGAATTATAGACCCATCTCACTTCTGAGCCATGTCTACAAACTGTTTTCAAGAGTCATTACGAATCGTCTCGCTCGCAGGCTCGACGACTTCCAGCCTCCCGAACAAGCCGGTTTCCGAAAAGGCTTTAGTACCATAGACCACATACATACGCTAAGGCAGATTATACAGAAGACCGAGGAGTATAATCAACCACTTTGCCTGGCGTTCGTGGATTATGAGAAAGCCTTCGATTCGGTCGAGACCTGGGCAGTGCTACAGTCTCTCCAAAGGTGCCAAATTGACTATCGATATATCGAAGTGTTGAGGGGTTTGTACAAAAACGCCACAATGTCGGTCCGCCTCCAGGATCGGGACTCGAAACCTATCCAGTTGCAGCGAGGGGTAAGACAGGGAGACGTCATATCTCCAAAACTGTTTACCACCGCCCTGGAAGATGTCTTCAAGCTTCTGGACTGGAACGGATTTGGCATAAATATCAACGGCGAGTACATCACCCACCTTCGATTCGCGGACGATATCGTAGTCATGGCTGAGACCTTGGAGGATCTAGGCACAATGCTCGATGGCCTCAGTAGAGCCTCTCAACAAGTGGGCCTCAGAATGAACATGGACAAGACAAAAATCATGTCTAATGTCCGTGTTGCACCCACTCCTCTGAAGGTTGGAGACTCTACACTCGAAGTTGTCGACAATTATGTATACCTGGGACAAACAGTCCAGTTAGGTAGGTCCAACTTCGAGAAAGAGGTCAATCGTCGAATCCAACTCGGATGGGCAGCGTTCGGGAAGCTTCGCCATATACTCATGTCCGAAATACCGCAGTGTCTCAAGACGAAAGTCTTCGAGCAGTGTGTGTTGCCAGTGTTGACATATGGATCCGAAACGTGGTCGCTTACTATGGGCCTCATAAGAAGGCTCAAGGTCACCCAAAGGGCGATGGAGCGGGCTATGCTCGGAGTTTCCCTGCGTGATCGAATCAGAAATGAGGAGATCCGTAGGAGAACCAAAGTAACCGACATAGCTCGCAGAATTGCTAAAATCAAGTGGCAGTGGGCGGGGCACATAGCTCGTAGAGACGATGGCCGTTGGGGCAGGAAAGTTCTCGAGTGGCGACCACGGGCTGGAAGACGTAGCGTGGGCAGGCCTCCTACTAGGTGGACCGACGATCTGGTAAAGGTCGCGGGAAGAGCCTGGATGCGGGCAGCGCAGGACCGTTCATTGTGGAAAACCTTGGGGGAGGCCTTTGTCCAGCAGTGGACGCCATTTGGCTGAAACAACAACAAGATGCTAACATGAACGACGGTGACAGATAGACGCGAAACTACCTAAACAGAGTTTCGGAGTAGTCCTCCTGGTCTCATCTCCGGGCGACAGCAGCGCCGCCTGTCGAGGGACCGCTCGCCGCCGCTGCCGCCCGGGCCGCCCGAGCCGCTGCCGCACCTTGCCGCCAACTTTGAGAACATGACTGTAGCTGAGGTAACTATAAACTACCCATCGCCTCCGGGTCCTGGTGGCCCGACGTAGCTTCAGAGGGGTTACTCCGAAAAACGATTTCCGAAGCTTCGAATGTTGCTATCCCCCTCACGCAAAGTGAGATGCCAGCATGAACGACGGTGACAGATAGACCCGAAACTACGTAGACAGCGATTCGGAGTAGCCCTCCTGGTATGGTCGCCTGGTGACAGCCGCGCTCCCGGCGCCGCCTGTCGCGGGATCGCTCGCCGCCGCTGCCGCCCGGGCCTCCCGAGCCGCTGCCGCATCTTGCCGCCAACTTTGAGAACATGACTGTGGCTGAGGTAACTATAAACTACCCATCGCCGCCGGGTCCTGGTGGCCCGACGTAGCTTCAGAGGGGTTACTCCGAAAAACGTTTTGCGAAGCTTCGAATGTTGCTATCCCCCTCACGCAAAGTGAGATGCCAGCATGAACGACGGTGACAGATAGATGAAACTACGTAGACAGCGTTTCGGAGTAGCCCTCCTGATGTCATCTCCGGGCGACAGCAGCGCCGCCTGTCGAGGGACCGCTCGCCGCCGCTGCCGCCCGAGCCGCTACCGCACCTCGCCGCCAACTTTAGAACATGACTGTTGCCGAGGTAATTACAAACTACCCGCCGCCCCCGGGTCCAGACGGGCCGACGTAGCCTCAGAAGGGTTCTCCGAAAAACGTTTTCCCAAGCTTCGAATGTAGCCATCCCTCTCGCGCAAAGCGAGATGCCAGCATGAATGACGGTGACAGATAGACGCGAACGTAAACAGCGTTTCGGAGTAGCTCATCTGGTGTCCTCGCCGCGCCACCTCGCCGCGCTCCCGGCGCCGCCCGTCGAGGGACCGCTCGCCGCCAACTTTGAGAACATGACTGTGGCCGAGGTAATTATAAACTACAACGCGGTCGAGTTAACTGCGCACCATCTGGTGGCATTGACGTCACATCGACGCTCAGATACAAAACGGGGCGAACGCGGGGTGTAGTTAACTCGACCGGGTTATACCCTCCGTCCTTGGGTCTGGACTCAAGCCGGGCCGTCGTTGCCTCTGGTATCTTCACCGGGTGACAGACGCGCCGCCTCGCCGGGCTACCGGCGTTTAGATAGAATGAAGCTCAAAACAGTGCAGATGTGGAATAGCCGATCCCGACCACATGTGGGTACTGAGACACATTATTAGTTTTTGCATGGCACCTGAACTAGCACAATCTCTTTAAATGATTGGAAAGTGGCTGTGGATATGTGGTGTTTTTTGCGTAGACCCTGCCTCAATTGAGCACAGTGCTAAGCTCCGTATGCACAAACATGCTCCAACGTTTCAATTTCCACTTCAGATGCGACATAGCATCGGCGACGAGAGGTTACGCGAGATCACCGCCGCCCACCACTACCGCTCGCTGGAGAAGCTGAACGGGGTGCGGCGGCGGGCCGGCGGGCCTGCCTACGGCCTGCCGCGCTCCTCCTCCGACTCGGGCTCCTCCGCCGCCTCCTCCCCGCCCGGCACCCCCGCCCCGCCGCGACGCGCCGCGCCCGCGCAGCCGCTCGCCTTCCTGCAGTACCCGCGGCCCTACGCCTACCCCACCCCGCCGCCCGCCTACCGCCCGCCGCCGCCGCCCTTCGCCAACGGAGAGGCGCCGCCCTACGCCGCCGGGCCCGCGCCCTACGGCGGCTTCGTGCCCGTGCTCTACGCGCCCGCCAAGCTCTCCTGCTACAACTGCGGCGCCGCCGGCCACGCGGGCCACGAGTGCAAGGAGCCCAGCATGGAGGAGATGACGCGCGCCGGCGGCTACCAGCTCGACTTCGGCGGCGCCCCGCCCGACACCGCCGACAAGTAAGCGCCGCGGCTCGGCCCAAGTACCAAAGTGTCGGGNGCTGAGGTAACTATAAACTACCCATCGCCTCCGGGTCCTGGTGGCCCGACGTAGCTTCAGAGGGGTTACTCCGAAAAACGTTTTCCGAAGCTTCGAATGTTGCCATTCCTCTCACGCAAACAGAGATGCCAGCATGAACGACGGCGACAGATAGATCCGAAACTACGTAGACAGCGTTTCGGAGTAGCCCTCCTGGTCTCATCTCCGGGAGACAGCAGCGCCGCCTGTCGCGGGACCACTCGCCGCCACTGCCGCCCGGGCCGCCGGGCTTGCAGCTGTGGCGCGCGCCGCGTTGCAGATTTCATAGAGATTTGCTGTCTGCGGTCTGCAGTCCATCTAGTAGACTTGTACCTTTACGCGAGTTGATGCGCGGGTAGGTGCAAGGAAGAGTCGCATTCCAGCAAGGTGCGCAGTTAACTCGTTCGAGTAATACCCCCCGCCCCCGAATCCGGGCGGGCCGATGTCGCCTCTGCGGGGTTACTCCGAAAAACGTTTTCCGAAGCTTCGAATATTGCCATCCCTTTCACGCAAAGCGAGATGCCAGCATGAACGACGGTGACAGATAGACGCGAAACTACGTAAACGGCGTTTCGGAGTAGTCTTCCTGGTGTCCTCAACTGGTGACAGCCGCGCCGCCTCGCCGCGCTCCCGGCGCCGCCTGTCGAGGGATCGGTCGCCGCCGCTGCCGCCCGGGCCGCCCGAGCCGCTGCCGCACCTTGCCGCCAACTTTGAGAACATGACTGTAGCTGAGGTAACTATAAACTACCCATCGCCTCCGGGTCCTGGTGGCCCGACGTAGCTTCAGAGGGGTTACTCCGAAAAACGTTTTCCGAAGCTTCGAATGTTGCCATCCCCCTCACGCAAAGGGAGATGCCAGCATGAACGACGGTGACAGATAGACGCGAAACTACGTAGACAGCGATTCGGAGTAGCCCTCCTGGTATGTTCGCCTGGCGACAGCCGCGCCGCCTCGCCGCGCTCCCGGCGCCGCCTGTCGCGGGATCGGTCGCCGCCGCTGCCGCCCGGGCCGCCGGAGCCTCTGCCTCACCTTGCCGCCAACTTCGAGAACATGACTGTGGCTGAGGTAATTATAAACTACTCTCCGGGTACGGGTGGGCTGACGTCGACTCTGCGGGGTTACTCCGAAAAGCGTTTTCCGAAGCTTCGAATGTTGCCATCCTTCTCAAGCAACCCGAGATGCCAGCATTGAACGATGGTGACAGATAGACCCGAAACTACGTAAACAGCGTTTCGGAGTAGCTCACCTGGTGTCCTCGCCGCGCCACCTCGCCGCGCTCCCGGCGCCGCCTGTCGAGGGACCGCTCGCCGCCGCGGCCGCACCTCGCCGCCAACTTTGAGAACATGACTGTGGCCGAGGTAATTATAAACTACATCGCGGTCGAGTTAACTGCGCACCATCTGGTGACCTTGACGTCACATCGACGCTCAGATACAAAACGGGGCGAACGCTGGATGCAGTTAACTCGACCTAGGACTCTGTCCCTGGATCCGGACTCCGGGTGGGCCGTCGTAGCCTCTGTTGTCTTCACCGGGTGACAGCCGCCCCGCCTCGCCGTGCTACCGGCATTTAGATAGAGCGAAGCTCAAAACAATGCGTAGATGTGCAATAGTCGATTCCGACCACATGTAGGTACTGAGACAACTTACGCCTGAACTAGCACAATATCTTTAAATGGTAAAGTAAGAGTGGAAAGTGGCCGTCTACGTAGGACGGTCATACGTGGTTCCATACGTGGTGTGTATATTTGCATAGACCCTGCCTCATTCGAGCACAGTGCTAAGCTCCGTATGCACAAACATGCTCCAACGTTTCAATTTCCACTTCAGATGCGACATAACATCGGCGACGAGAGGTTACGCGAGATCACAGCCGCCCACCACTACCGTTCGCTGGAGAAGCTGAACGGGGTGCGGCGGCGGGCCGGCGGGCCGGCGTACGGCCTGCCGCGCTCCTCCTCCGACTCGGGCTCCTCCGCCGCCTCCTCCCCGCCCGGCACCCCCGCCCCGCCGCGCCGCGCCGCGCCCGCGCAGCCGCTCGCCTTCCTGCAGTACCCGCGGCCCTACGCCTACCCCACCCCGCCGCCCGCCTACCGCCCGCCGCCGCCGCCCTTCGCCAACGGCGAGGCGCCGCCCTACGCCGCCGGGCCCGCGCCCTACGGCGGCTTCGTGCCCGTGCTCTACGCGCCCGCCAAGCTCTCCTGCTACAACTGCGGCGCCGCCGGCCACGCGGGCCACGAGTGCAAGGAGCCCAGCATGGAGGAGATGACGCGCGCCGGCGGCTACCAGCTCGACTTCGGCGGCGCCCCGCCCGACACCGCCGACAAGTAAGCGCCGCGGCTCGGCCGATGTACCAAAGTGTCGGGTCTGTTGTGCGTAGCGACCCCCTCGGAATCGAAACTCGCGCTCGGACGATCGTAGGTCGAAGCGTTCGGTCGACCTATGATAAAGTTTCAACGTGCGCTTATTGGACTAACCGATGGACACTGGTGATTTTATGTTTAAGAATAATTGCATTTTCGATTTGTCTTTACGGCTGATTGACCTTTTTACTGACGTTTTAGCCATCCAGTGTCGTGGGTAGGAAAAATTGAAGAGTAAATTTTATCGATTCGACAGGCAATATTCAAAATATTTTCTGATACTGTTCCTCCCTAGATCTGAAACTCATAATATTATAGAAGAAATTGTTATGATAATACTATACTTGAATACATATTATGTCATTAAAGTTATACATATTCTGCATAATAACATACTAACTAATCGTCGTACAAAAATATAAACTATCATAAGTCTAGTGGTTCCAGTTGCCTAGTTTGATTATTTATTTATTAACGTAATGTTATAAGCATAAATTAGTTATAGTCAATCAAAGTGAGACAAGTGAATTACAGCAATAATTTTACTCAGAACTAGAGCATAAATCGGAACTGCAATTATCTTGCGAACATACTATGGCTGCTAGCTGTTAGAATTTGGAGGGAATTCCATCTAAATTGACTTATTATGCTGACAATAACAGCAGCAGGTTGTTAGAATTGTACAAATGTTCAAATGAGCTTCCGGCCGAATACTGAAACACTACTCAAATCTGTCACTCAGCTGACGGGCTCCTAAATTTAAGTATCCTTCAATTTTAAATGGTATTCTCAAACGCTACTCAACGGATTTGAAGCCGTGATCAGCTAAGCAGCTCTTAAATGTTTACATAATGGCAACATTTACCAAAAAAAGTATGTTTCCATTTACACAAATGATAACTTTACGTTTTTTATCCATTACACGCAGCATCGTTTGATTATGTATTGTCTTTTATGGAAATATACTCAATCAACTTAACATAGAACAGTTTATTTTTAGTTTCTATTATATATAAATCTCGTTTTATCATATAAAAAAATTTAATGCTTGCATTTTTATTTAATTAAAAAAAATTTTAAAGGTGATACTTTTTATTGTTGAAATCTATTAAGTGGCGATCGTGGACCGAAACGTAACCACAATTGACATTTATCATTGTTGACAGAGCATCAAATTGACAAATCAACAACTCTTGGAAATGCTGCTATGCCATGTCCCCTTATTCCTCAGAAATAGGCATGTTTATGTAATGCGATTTCATAGCAGTTAGTTTGGTTGTTACTTCGTGCACTATACGATGCACAGTTGGCTGTTAGATGTGGAAGATATCACCTAGTACACGTTCATAACTTCCCGTTGCGTAGAACAGTAGGGTTATAATAAGTATTTGGTCCACTGGTTGTATGGCATTTGGTGAGGGGTTTCAAAGAGCTTCCAAATTATGAATCCAGAAACAACACCGTTTCTTTAGAGACGCGGAACCTCGCTCGGAATTGCATGTCATTATAATAATATTTTTCAATAGCGTAGCCTTATTGCGTTCCTGCGATTAGATCTAGGTATTTCCTCGAGGCTCGAAAGAAATGATAACGATGACACATACATTATTTACCACTATTTAGGTCGATTTAAGTATAAGAATAGGATTTAAGATACCGCGCAAGCACTCTCAAATTTAACGGCTGCTCAAGACGATTTGACAGTTGTTTGAGTAATGCTTAGCGTTGAATGGCGTTTCAGTATGCGAAAATTCATTTGAGTTGCGTTTGAGTGCAACTTAATTTGAGAGGTGCTTAAAAATTGAGAACTGCTCAGATATTGTTTTGAGTATGCGAAATGTAAGTTTAGGAGCTGCTTAACTATTTGAGAGGCTGTCAAATATTTAAATGGCGTTTCAGTATTCGGCCGTTCGACGCGTAACACAGTACATAGATTAAATATGCTTATTTGCTGTTTTGTTTAAATATCCTTTATTCTTGCCTTTTTATCTGATAAGCAATGAAAATGTTGAAAGAGAACAGTTGTTAAGTAAAATCTAGAAAATCGCGGACTCATTCAGACGTAAGTCATACATTGTAACAATTAGTGTGCCATATGCGTTAAAAGTTAGATTACGGCATTATTTGATCAGCGCTTTACCAAGTGATTGACAAATAATGGTACTTTAATGATATTGTAATGGATTTTGGTATAAAATGTAAAAAAAAAGTTTTTCAAATTAACACTATAATACAGTGTGGGTTAGATATCTCGTATTGACTAAGTTTGATTGAAATGTAACATGATCAAACATTTAGTACATTTTGATTAGTACAAGAGACATATTTAAAGGTTTTCAAATAGTGTGATAAGTTTAGATATTGTTTAACTTAATTATAAAACTTGTGTTCAGTTATCGCTACAGTAGGGACATGAGTGTTATTTGATCATGTAGCTTTCTATTGTGAAGGCGTATTTAAAGCTCTGCGTTTAAATATCTGCTGCTGTTGGGAAGGAAAAAGTAAAAAAAAAATCTTACACTTACTTTATAAATAATTTTGAGACATTTATTGGGGTACTCTAACTGAAGAGAGGAATGGAATTCCCTAAAATTCTGTGTTCTCCTATAAAAATAATCCACACAACTGTATTTTAAGACAATCTAAGAGATCATACCAAACTTGTACTATAGCCATGTGACTAACTTTAATGAACAGTTCAATTTGAAAATGAGACGAACTTTGTATAAAAGTAATACTGATTGTTTCCTTTGACCCAAGACTGATTTCTAACGTTAGTTAATGATTGGGCTTCTAAAATTTGTAATTATATCGTTTGAAAGTGACTAATGACTAGGAAGCCCCATACAATCTTGAATCACGGGACTGTCTACCCAAAAAATACGTCAATATTGTCATTCGAGAGATCGCATCGCACGCGGCGTGATCCGTTTATGATGTTGAACAAGGGATTATTTTGATCAAGCTCACATGCAATGCTCTTTAAAATTAATGTTAAAATAGTCATTGTAAATAACAACATCTTTGTAAGTTTGAACACGTCACATTTGACGTGTTCATATTTGTAAATAATTCAGTTTATATTATGATTAGTTAATATTTAGAGATTGAGTATATTTGTAAATTTACTTTGTAACGATTCGAGTGTCCCTATAGAGTATATTCAATTGTTTCTCTATGATCACTGTCACAAATCACAATTTTGCATTTTTTAAAGTCCCCGTTTTGAGAAAGTTCAAATTAGAAGGGTTGTATAATTGTTTTTGCATAATTATAATAAAAAATATGTTTTTGATTCGGGTCAGATGCGTCACGCGCATGGGTGGGAGTAGTTCGCGGCCGATCATTCGCTTGTCGCGCTGTCTCTTTCAGTTCCGGCCCGCCCCTCGCACGGTGGGGCGTGGCTTCTCTTTTGTATGCATTTAAGTGTGTCTACACACGCACCCTTTTGATTCTGTATTTATTGTATTTACATATCAATCTAAAAACACATCATCTCATTTTTAAAAGTTTCTACTTACTCCTACTAATAGCTACGATTTGGGTTGCCAAATCTAGAGTATCAAATATTCATGTTACTATAATAAATTCTGTCATAAGTTCAAAATGTTTTTAACAGAGAAATCACCCCCTCACCGTGAATCTATACTAAATCCATAACTATAATAGCATATAGAGTCTGTTAGTGTAATCAAGGGACTACTATAATTTTACACATGAAATGTCACTCCTTATGAAGGTTGTAAGTCCACGTAACGTAATTATTGTGTTATTTATATCTTAACAATTCTATTATGATATTTAAAACGAGTTGAATTTAGATTAAACCTAGAGGGAATAACTTAATAGTTGTATGTGTAAGTGCGCCTACGTAGCCCGCGGTGGTCCGGCAGTCGCCGCAGCGATCGCCGAAGCGAACGCGACGGATCATCCACGTAAAATTAATCGTTGCAAACTTTCATGCAGCTTTATTTTTACTAGTGGAAGTATGAAAATATTTTTTTACTTTGTACAGAATGTTATAAATGTGATAAAATAATTTTTGACATAATTAGAAATTGTGATTTAGTAAGGTGTGTAGTTATTATAAAATTATATAAAAAAAGAGAACTCGCTTTACTAAATAAATAAATTGTACTATCCTACAGCTATTGTATAACGTTGTTTTCCCACATTTTTATATTTGGGTACTTAATGTATTCTAAGCTGTTGTACTACTAATAAATTTGAAGATCAACGAGCTCAGGAAAAAGAATGTTTCGGCCCAGTATTGTAAGACCTTTGTATCCCACCAATGCTGTGAATCATTTGCTTCCTGACAAATAAACAACCAAAATCTGATGTCTTTTTTAATTAATTTCCTTTTTTTTTACAAAAATACTTACCCCTAGACAAGCTTGAGTATCTAAACTTTTAATAATAGATATCGATTTGGAAATTACTTACTCAAGGTAGGTAGGTACTATTGCGGTCACCAACGCGTTAACACCCAGAGCTACTATCGTTTTCACACACTGCTTTATCGGGGCCTTCTATTTCTTCAGTTACCTACCTAGTATCTACCTAATAATTTACTGAATGTATTCGTAATTATAAGTTCTATGTTATATCAATTCAATACAAACTAATTGGGGTCATCTGTCTTCGTGTCCTTCAGGAAAAATCGTGCCGATATTTATTTACAAGTTTTCTACGCGACACTAAACTTCAAAATAACAACAGGAAAAAGGATGTTATTTTTTTCAGCTGAATCTGTGCATCTTTAGTTTTACGATAGCTAGAAACTTGTAAATCAATTTTATTTCTAAGTGGAAGAACACGTTCGGACCGATGTGGAAAGAAATAGGTAGGAAAGAAAAAATATATTTTCACAGGAATTTAGGATTTACTTACTTGCATGTCTGCATAGGAGACAATAGTCTGTATCAATTAAGTACCATTTGATTTTTTTATGCAAATCAATCCCTATCCTACGTTTTCAGTTTGTACTTAATTACTCTTTTTCTATCACTACTTAAGTATGGATGAGCGGAATCATTTCACTAAAACCCTTTGACACTAAGTTCCATTCTCAGTCGAGTCATCATAACTTAGCTAGCACTAACAAGTTATGACTTAGTGCCTAGGTGGGTACCGCGATACGTTTCCATAATAAGCAACCTACTTACGTTCAGGCAAAGCGGACTCAAGTTAAATTAATATAATTAAGTAGGTAATAGAATACTTAGGTACAGTCGAGTTCATAAATATTGGCAATGGACAATGTTTCAAAATATTGTAGCGCAGTCAATATTGCGCTACCGCAACATGTTAATGAACAGTTTATATTATTAAATTTAATCGATGTTTGAGTTTGTATTGAAATATTTGATCGTTAAAATTCTAACAATATTTTGAAACATTGGCAGTGCCAATATGAACTCGACTGTACCTACCTATTGCTAGGCAAGGCACGTGTTGTGGGACGTTTAGATATAGGTAGGTACTTCTTAAACGTACTAAATAACGTTATTTACTTGCCTATCTTTTTTGCATTAGGCCTATGTAAATGAGACAATTTTTCACAAAAAACAAAACGTATAATTTTACTGTAGGTACTTAAATAAGTAAGTAGAACTTAACAACCTACATAAAGTAATTTACCTGCACTCGTCGGTGTTTGTAGAAAAACTTTAATAAATTGCAGACAGTTTGTTAATTGAATAGTTAACCACTTGTGGGATCTCTTTCTCGGGTAGGATCAAAGGGTAGAGTTCTCAGAATTTTACACTTTATCTAAAGCTTAGGTACTTACTTAACTACGCTGTCTGAAGTTTTTTGTGAACAACCTACAAAATTAACTGCGATTAATTAAACTAGGTAGGTAAAGACAAATAGGTAAATGATAAAATTCCAATATTAAGGTAAGGCACGTGATGGTGACAGCCAGACTCTACAATCAAGAATTTCTGTCAATAAAAGCAATGATTAATTTTCTGAAAATGTTAATTAACTACATAGTTAATTGCACCTTAGCGCGAAACGCGCGATTGCATGTGGACCTCTATCGCGCGATTCGCAACTCGCGAGTAAAAACGCACGTCATGGACAGTCCCTGTAAACACTGAAAGTAATAGATAGCAGCGCCAGAACCATTAACAATGGTCGAGCCATCATAAAATATCGAAAAGTGACCCACCATAAAATTGATATAAATTCGTTTTATATCAATTTTATGGCACGGACAAAAAGTAACAATACACCGGCATAATCACTCATATCGCTCAGATACCTTATCGTGTCGCCTCCCGGTCCCAAACAGTCATCAATCTTGGCGGGCACGTGAGCGCGTTACTGCGACATCGGCCAAATTGTATCGGTATTCTATTGTTGTTGAATCAAAAATATAACCTTCGTTTCAGACTGTTTGTAACCGCCGCTGTTATAGTGTACGACACCCGATTTAAATTCAGTTTGAGGACATTTTTTTTAATGCATAACAAGGCAGATATTTGACCACAATCGCACCTGATATTAAGTGGGATGCAGTCTAGTTATTCAACCACCAAACAGTTTTGCAACAAAAATAATTTTCAAGATTTTGCCCACGGCTTCGCCCGCGTGGAATTCAGTTTGTCACAAATTATAGCCTATTAGTCCAGTAGAATTAGCTTTTAAATCGGAAATAATTCCTACAAAAGATTTTATTGCTTTAATGGCTTCATTGGTTGCCTATTAAGACTCTCCTAAGTTTTCGACTTCGACGGAGTTGTGCTTAAGTGGTGGGGGCCCCCGAAAGGGGCGCTTTTTCGGTTTTCCAGTTATACCGCGTAAAGGACTTACCCTATCGAAAAGTGGTCTTCCTGATGGTTGAAGGGCATTTAATTCTGCATTAAATAAGACCAAATTCATATGTTTTGAACAAACTCTTCTCGTGCAAATGTTCGGCAAAGTAGAAAATATGTGTATAATTAATGACCCTCTCCACGTCCAATGGCTCGTTACCCGCAGGCTTCCAAGTCTTGAAAAGGAGCGCCTCAACCAGTGTAACCCTATCAAGGCATACGAGCTGGATTCGCCGATCCTTCTTCGTCCCAGCCGTTCCTTATCTGCGGTTGCTGCACCTCTTCCTGGCACTCACCTGAACGACTCTGTGTTACCTACTGTGGCTGCCCCTCTTCCTTGTATCCTCCTGCACGACTACGTTGCCTAGCCGTATGCCTGGTCTAAGGTTTGACGCCAAAAATCAACAACAACAAGTTCATATTAAAACGCTGAAGAGTTTTTTGATTGTTTGTTTGAACGCGCTAATCTCAAGAATTACTAGTTTGATTGAAATAATATTTTTGTGTTGAATAGCTCATAAATTGAGGAAGGCTATAGGATATATACAATCACTCTACGACTAATAGAGCCGAAGCAGTAAAGAAAAATGTTGCAAGCACGGAAAATAGTATTTAAACTATTTTCACGCGTGCGAAGTTGATTTTGTGGCGTCGAACCTTGGACCAGGCATACGGCTAGGCAACGTAGTCGTGCAGGAGGCTGCAAGGAAGAGGGACAGCCACAGTAGGTAACACAGGGTCATTCAGGAGAGTGCAAGGAAGAGGTGCACCAACCGCAGTTAAGGAACGGCTGGGACGCACAAGGATAGGCGCATCAAGCTCGTAAGCCTTGATAGGGTTACACTGGTTGAGGTGGCCCTTTTCAAGACTTGGAAGCCTGTGGGTAACAAGCCATTGGACGTGGAGAGGGTCATTAATTATACGTATATTTTCTACTTTTCCGAACTTTAGCGCGGGAACGGTTTGTCCAAAACATTTGAATTTGGTCTTATTCAGTGCAGGATTAAGTGCCCTTCAACCGTCATGAAGACCACTTTTCGATAGGATAAGTCCTTTACGCGGTATAACCGGAAAACCGAAAAAACGCCCCTTTCGGGGGTCCCCACCACTTAAGCACAACTCCGTCGAAGTCGAAAACTTAGGAGAGTCTTAATGGGCAACCAATGAAGCCATTAAAGCAAAAAAATCTTTTGTAGGAATTATTTCCGATTTAATCAATTTTTGTGTTTAATTCTACTGGCCTATAATTAAGTTATTCTGATGTATAAACAATAACGCCTATTGTAAAGTTTCATCAAAATCCGTTCAGTAGTTTTTGCGTGATAAAGTATCCAACATACATCCTTAGAAATATTTTTAAATATTAGTAGGAATAGGTAAAGTACGAGTACCTAGGTAGTCTGATGCTGTCTAGGTACTGTACTTAACTAGGCTTTTGGTCGCGCACTGAATTTAGTTAGACCTACATACGAGTTCCCACGGGAACTGTTAAATGTGTCTCGCGATATAAAGTGGGTAAGGCTAGTTGCAATGTTTCATGAAAGATTTTACAGGATACTTAGGGCCATTAGTTCCTGAGATTACCTGTAGACCTGCCCTTAACTTAATATAGCTCGTGTATTGAAAATTAAGTGCAAAAAGATTAATAGTTAGGTAAATACTTTACGAGCGGCACAGGATCGGTCTTTGTGGAAATCCTTGGGGGAGGCCTTTGTCCAGCAGTGGACGTCTTTCGGCTGAAACGAACGAACGAAGTAGGTACTTTACTTCGGTAAGTATCTTCATTAAGTTGTTTCAGAAGACAACTCATATAGGGTAGATTCTTTTGTTGGACCTAGAACAATTACCTACCTACGACTTATAAATGTAGAGTTTTGAGAATTTGCATCGTTTCTTGATAAGTAGCGTAGCGGGCTTTAAACCTTTATATTTCAATAGTGCATGAAATAAAAATGTAATTTATACATAAGGTATTTATAAAGCGTTTTGTAATTGATACCTAAGTAAGTATACCGGATCCCGAAACGCTTATAAATAGATAAACACCAAATTGCGAAGGCGGTGAGTGCGCCACATGCGACCTTCTTCACAATAAATTAAAAATTTAATTAAACTAGGTACCGAGTGGTCGCAACTGCTTGATAAACGCTTTTTACTTCGCTTGACTTTATTCATTAACGCAGGAAATTGTCTCTGGATTTTTGGCGGATGTTTTAGCAGTTTTAACTGTAATGTTTGTTTTTGTGAAGAAAACACTGTAATTATCTCGTTACAGGCCTTATTGGATTACCTACTCAATTACTTATTGTAACAAAACAAAAATAATGTTAACAAAATAATTCCTATAAAATGTAACTTACGCCGGTATTCACAACATTACTATGAGGTCTCACAGTGCGCGTGGACGCACAGGGTCTCACACGAACCAATCACAAGGCTCTTTTCAACGCTGTGCGTTCGATTTGCCGCTTCACTTAAGCAAACATCGTTTGTGAATACTGGCGCTAGACTTAAATAGTGATTTTAG